TAATAATTATTTTAAAAATAATCCGGAATTCGGATTTTTATATTAAATCTTTCTATGTATGCATGTGCGTATGTATGGTATGGCAAAAATAATAAATTTAAGTTGACCAAGAGATAAATTCATAAAACTTAATTATATTTTCGAATAAATAAATACATATAAAGATATCAAATTAACAAATGCAATAATGAAAGTCTTACCCTTGAACTTCTTGGACAATTGTTCGTAATCTTTCTATAGTCTTTTCTCTCATATAATCTATTTTTATAAAACCACTTTCCATGCAGACTAAAGCTTTCGATAAATCTATGAAAATATCAATTTTTTTTTAAATATTGAAATATAAATTATATATGTTATAAATTTTTTTTAAAGAATTGAATAAAATTGAAAAATGCAACATCAAATTTCATATTTATATACTTTTATATTATACACTATTCTAGCATCATTATACCAAAAATGAAAAAATGTAGTAAACGTATGATGTTCATTTCTGTTTTCTATATGTAATATAGAATATATTTTGTATTATATGTAATATAAACATATTATATATATATATAAATATTTTTTAAGAAAAGCTAATAAATTTTTACAATTGATCATAAAATCATTTCATTATATTATATAAATAAAGTAATATCAAAAAAATTAAAATATTAATTGATAATTATAAAATTAAATTAATTTTCAAACCATGATTTTTTTAACAAATTTATATCTTTATATTTATTTCTGATATAAATTTGATTTATAAAATCAAAGATCACTTCGGCATTTAATCGTATCGATATATCTTATATTTATTGCAATACATCGATAATTCGAAATCCTCTGTAAGATTATAATTTTCTTCCTTTTCGCTTTGTTGCGAAAATAAATCCAAGTTTATCACTAGAACTTCTAAATTACTAAGAACTTCTATTGTTACTGTCTTTGCAACTCCAAATTCATAGTTGTGTTGCTATAACGTCAAAAACTGATCCTTTTTTCATAAAATTTTATACCATATATGTATGGAAACTAATCATCAATCATATGAAATTCATGTTTAAAAATTAAGATTTCTTTTCTTTAAATCGTTAAATTTAGTTATATAGATATTAATCTTCATATAAAGCTTTTCGTTCGTTAAATCTCTTTTACTTGAAATTTATATAAAACTTGAAAACTTTACATCTTCCTACCTTGAGCTATCGAATTATCGAGATTTTATTATAATTTAAAACTTTTTAGATACGATTTTTTTTTTATTTACCTTGTACTTTAGAAACTTTTATAGGTTTATTATTTAAAAATGCGCCACGACCTTTTCTCGCTGTGAATAATTGTTCGAGAATAGGATTGTAAACAATACCGATCACCATTTCTTTTT